AGTTGATTAAACCTATATCCATAATATCCTTAGATATTAATAAGTTATAGAACAATCAATAATTACAATAGGTAATGAATAACAATGACTTTTAATTGGGATGTAAAAACATCCCAAGTGACCGTTTACGCAAAAAATGAGATGACTCGGGTTAAGAGTACAAACAAAAGAGCGGTAGTACAAATTAAATAAAGTTTTTCTCTACAGAACAACTAATTTCTGCATAAAAAGTTTACATAAAAAATCTTAAATAATTATATAAAAAGAATTGAGATTTTCGTTATTTCATTATTATTTCTTAATTACATTTCGATTAGAGCACGTTTCTACTTATTCTTCTTCTCTCTGTTTCTTCTTCTCTGTTTGCTTCGGCCATCGAACCTCACTGACTCCCTATGCATTGTGGAACACTCAGCAGGTTCATGGCCACCGAATAATTCGGGAAATCTATTCTTTTTTTTCTCTCCCCTTTTACAATTTTCTCTTTCCCTTCTTAATTTCTCTCCTTCGTCGGATCTCTTGGTTTTCTGAAATATTTCAGAGATAGCCTTAAGGTTTACGACCAATGACATTTCCTTCATATTCCAAATCCATTTCTTCTAGTGAAATCTGCATCATCCTCTCTTTCTGACGCTCAGAGACGGAGGCGAGCTCTGAAGAGGCTCCGTTATCGTCGCAACAAGCGAGCTCGTCGATCAGCCAACTACCCCTCGCCTAGGACATCCGAGGTTTTTACACATGCTGAAGAAACCACGAGTTGTTCCAGGAGAAGACCCTATTATTTGTCCATATCTCCTCCGTCCTATTCCCTATTTCCCCGATTAGACCATTCGAATCTGGGTCACCCCCAGATTTCAGCGCACTCTTCCCAGAGCGCCATGACACAAATTTCCAATATCCAGATTTCCGCACCAAGAAATCCTTGGACGAGTTCTGCGAACTCCGGACTCCTTCCCCTCCTCCCCTAGACCTCACCATCAGAAATCCGACCTCCTCTCCGAAACAACCACACACAGATAACAAAATATAGATTTAAATATATTAACAACGTAGGATAAAAATATCAAAATATAGATTAAATATACTAAACTATGTAGAAGATAAGAATAATTAGAATGTAGATAAACATACACATATAATTGAATTTGTACACGGAAATTAAATAATACATCCGTAAATTTTTAGAACATTTACATTATATGAATTTCCGTACGTAACACCTTTTTCTATTTTATCAAATGTACCTTCAGTAAATGTACTTCAACACAAGAAATAATGACATAGATCTTGTAGTTAGTTAAACTTGTAATCATTTTTAAAATTATTAATTACATGTAAAATTTAAATTATTTATCGTTTTAGTTATTTTCTCCCTCTTTCATTCCCCATTATCCCAAGATTCGCACATGGTCCTGTCCCTGGCAAAAGAGATTAAATTCTCTTGCCTAAATTACGGACCGACGGACGCACGTCACGCAGTCGAAGTCATAGCGTCTTTTTCAAGACGTTGACTCGCACTCGTGGATCTGCACAGTGTGTCCGACTCGTAGGGACGCCTCAGCGCGCCCACCTGCGAGAGGGTATTTGGAGCGTCCTTCCTAGCCCCATCCATTTTCAAAAAAAATATTTACCTCGGGCTGGACGTAACATTATTATTTATTATCTTTCTTAATTAATTATAATATATAAATAAGAAAAATATTTCCCATATTTAACATACATAATTATTAACAAATTCATAAACAAATAAATAAAATATATACAATTTATAAACAATTTTTATAAAAACAATGATTCTTATTAAAAATAATATAAATTCACGGCTCTATATATGTAATTAAATTATCTACAAAAATTACATATGCAATCGAGATTTTAAAATTGAGATTATTTATACAACATAGTAACATTCACCAGATCAGTAAGATTCACCAGATTAACCAGATCTATCATATTTTATGTCAAGATCCCATATTCATTTATATCATCATTTCAGTAGCAGATTTCATCCCATATGCAAGTTAAGCAGCAGGGTCCCAAGTAAGGATAGGTAGGCCGTTTTAGAAACATGAGGCGATAGAAGATAAAAGATGTTTTTAGCACTTTCACTTTTTTCATTTTTTCATTTTTTTTACTTATTTTTCGTAAAAGGTGTTACGTATTATAGATTTTTAGTACTAGTAATATCGGAACGTAACCGTTATTTTGTCGTCATAAGTATCACATCATCGGTCTGTCATTTATAGACGTCATTATGTGTTCCTTTTTGACGTTTTTTATGACGTAAATTTGATGATATTAATGACTTAAAATAGACATTATATTGACGACATCTTGTTACTTGGGTATTTAGTTAATTTAATTACTTTATTATTTAATTATAAATAAGTTTATATAATGTTGTAGCCAGGTCTACAACCAATAATAAAATAATAACCAATAACAAAAGTAGTCCGCATGGCAACAAAATTAGGTCGCATGAATCTCGAAAAGTCTTTCGAAAGATGACACAAATGTGTGACCGCCGAAATTGCGACCAGTCTTTCGAAAGACCGCAGAAATGCATCGCGAGAACATTGCGAAAAAGCTGATCAGCAAATGCCTAAATTTGATGATCAAATCGAGCGTAATATTGATTAATCAATATCACGCAACCGATCGACGCAATCGATCAGAATGCTGATCGGGCATCGATCAGACTATATAACCGGTTACACAAGGGGGAATCAGCAGAGTCTAGAGTCAAAAGTCAAAAGTAAAGAATAACGTGTCGTTCGGAATCGTTATTATAATTATCGCGCAAGATATTACACGAGCACAGCGAAGTTCACGCGAGCCGTACTATCAGCGTCTCAGGTGACATATTCGGTCGACAGCCGCCAGAGTAACGCGATACGCGCCCGCCGACGTTTAACCGTGTGTGAAAGAAATAAAATAAGCAATACTAAATCCAAGAAATTGTGCAATTGTTAAATAAACCAAGTAACATAAAGAAAGTGTTAGTGATTTCAAGAAGATTTCCTTCCATTCTTTTGATCCTGCTCGGAGTCCCAACTCCTTAGGCTTAACGAACCCGAGTATCTCTAATATTATCGTTGTAGCCCATCCGGGGTACAACAATAAATTATAAATTATTATAAATTAAAAATAAGTTTATTTAATTATTATAATTATTGGTATTATTTAATTAATATTATTTAATTAATTATTTAGTTAATTTAAAAGATGTCTCTTCTATTAAAACAAATTATTTCTAGTACTTTTAATAATATTTAGATATTAACTAAAATTATAGTTTTTAATATAGGTTTTTTATTTTTCTTTTTAGAACAAATAACAAATACTTTTTCAAACAATAATTTTAACAAATAAATTAATTATATTTTAATAACTAAGTGATTCAGAGTTAATATACAATACTATTATAGTAAATATATAAATATAAATATTTTAGTCTTACTGACAATGAGAACAAAAAAAAAGGTGTGTGTAAAGCTAGCGTCTTATTTTGCGGAAAAAATCATACAAATTATTGAGAGTTCTAGCTTCCTTTTTAATAGTTCTATTCCTGATAAATTAAACAAATAGTTTTTACATTAAAGTGAAAAAATCGGTTTGGACAAAGTGGACACCAGATTCACGCTGCGGCTCATTTTATTCTAAACGAGTTTCGACGCTTGCAAACGTAAGATTTTGAAAAATTTATAATTCTATAAGAGTTCTATAAAGAGTTCTCCCATATAAAAACAAAAAAATTTTAAATAAGTTGAAGTTAATTATCAGTGCAATAAACAAATTGAGCTGAAACGCAGACCAATAACTTAAAGTTTTGATTTAATAAATATACTTTTTGTATAGTTTTGAACATATTAAAGGATTTTCTAAAGAGTTCTAGGCATTGGCGGTGATGTATGATTTTTAAATAAAGATTTTTCATCAGAACTTCGAGATTTCAACCGTTTCATATTTTTCCATCTAAGAATGTGACGCTTGGCTAATTTTTCTTAAATAAAGAAAAATTGTTCTGATTTAACAAATATACTTTTCGTATAGTCTTGAACATGTCAAAACGTTTTCTAAAGTTTTCTAAAGAGTTTTCTAAAGAGTTCTAGGCATTGGCGAATGTAAAAAAATGTACGATTTTTAAATAAATAGATACAGCTCAAATGAGTATTAATATGAGACGCTGTTTAAATGTCGGCACATCTGATAGTCTAATACATTTTTCGTATACTTCTGAATGTATTCTAATGCTTTGGTAAAAATTCTAATCACAAAAAATATTTCGACCAGCGTCTTATACTTTTCCGTTTCTTTGTTAATTTTATTTTAATTTATTAATTATATAGAGTTTTTAAATTATATTGTTTTTAAGTATTTATGTTTTTTTCTTATTTAATATAATTTTGATATTTATAAATATAATATATAATTTATAATTTATATAGTTATTTTTTTAACTTAAATCTATTTTTATTTTCTTGTAAACTATTATTACGTTATTAATTTTTACATTATTTGCTATGCCGTATGAATTCCTTAACACTAATAACATTTTGGGATAAGAAAAGCGAAATGTATTCACTGTGAGTCTAATAATATCTTATCGATATGTTTCTTATCGATTTTGTTTCCTACTCTGGCCGCAACTTTTCGAAGAGGGTGTTAGCGTACAGTGAATTTTTCCTGCCCCGCTAACTCCCGTAAAATCGTTGGTCTTTAATAGTATCTCGTCAATGGCCAACGTTAATTTTAACGGCCGTTTAGCTAGACTCGGGTTAAACTGACAAACTGGGCCTAAATGAACTGCAGCTATAATTTTATATTATGACTATTAGTTTTGAAAAGAATCAGTACTTCAGATATTATTGCAGAACTTCCTATTATTCGGTTTGTACATACGGTACGATTTGTTTTTATTTTCTATCTATTCTATTTATATATATTTATTTCAAATCTTGCGTACACTAGAAAACGGATATTAGGAACAAGAATAAATATTAAATATTAAAAAATAAAAAAATTTTGACGAGATTAAATATAACGCACAATAAATATACAAATAAGATATGACATATTTATATATCTTATATTTTATTTATTTTATTTTATTTATGTACATTATGAGTTATATTTAATCTCTATTCTTAATTTTTAATTTTTCTAATGTTTAATATTTATTTCTGTTCCTAGTATTTCTTAAATTGTGCGCAAGGTGCCTTAAAAATGTTTTTTCAAATTTGGCGATTAGTGACGCCTTAGCTATTCAGAATTGACGCATTGATACTTCTGGAACCTATAGCGAATTGTCGTTTGGGCATTTTTTGGGAATCCTAGTTTTGTACACTGTTATATCGTATTTTAGATAGAATAATATATATAGAGAAGAGAAAGAAAGAGAATTTGAGACACTACTATTATATAATTTTCTTTTTAAATAATTTATACATTAATACACTCATGTATTCGCTGTTGTCGACCCAAGCTAGTCTTAGTTCGGAATTAAAACAAGTCATAAATGAAAGAAATATATTGAGCATGCGGAGTCGTATGAAAGGTATAACTTGAATTTTTATTTTTGATACTATTGATTCAATGATTTGTACATTAAATCTTATATCATTTCTTTTTTCAGTTTTACGTGCTTTGAACGAGAATAATGTACAATGCACAGAAGAAAAGGAAAAAGCTTTAAGATCACAAGCCATTCAAGAAATATTGACCACGGAAGTTACTTATTTACAACAACTGGAAATCTTGACAGAAGTACGTTTCTAATATATTTTATTATGCAATAGTTGTATGTTATTATTAATATATAATCCTTCAGTTTTTTTTACAACCTATTCTTGAAAGAAAATTATTGAATCATCCATTGTTTATCACTTTCTCTGAGAATATAAAGATGTTGTATAACGTGAGTGGTGAATTAGTGACAGGATTAAAACATAATCCTATTAACATAGCTGGAATATTTCATAAACTTGCACCATTCTTCAAATTATATTCCGTTTATGCTTATGATTATGTACAAATGTTAAATCTATTACAGGTAATTATTAATTAATATTTATAATTTTTTAAATTTATGAAAAAATTTTAATTTATTGGCAATTTATAGATTTATGAGTTTCATATATTCATTATAAATAAGCATATTTGTACAAATATATGTTCTCACGAATTATTTTAATACTTGTATTAAAATATAGATAAAGAGATCATCATTGATATTAAAGTTTATCTGTAAGTTTATTTCTTCAGACAAATCAGGAGAATGATCCTGATTTTAAAAAATTCATTTTTGATCAAGAAACAAGACCAGAAGTAGGCAGGAAATTGTCTTCCTTATTAATTACACCAGTGCAAAGAGTACCAAGATATCAATTACTTATTAAAGAAGTGTTACTACATACTCCTTATGAACACAAAGAATATAGACATTTACAAAGTAATTATATCATTAAAATTATGCGACTATAAATTTACAAAATAACTTATATGTATTTGAATTATGTCTCTAATATGATTTTATTTAAATTTTGATTGCAGCATGTTTGGTTGAAATTGAAAAATCTGCAAAACATATAAATACTTTAATTGCACAGAATGAAGAAACACAAAAACTATTGAATCTTCAGAAGTGCATTGTTACTTCGATCAATCTTGTCAAACCTGGTAGAATACTGATCAAGCAAGGATCATTGATGCGTGTTTCAAGACGAGGCCATTCTGCTTATAGAAGATATTTTATTCTTTTAAATGACACTTTATTATATTGTAAAGGCGAACCAGGAGCATCGCTGAACGTATCTTGCGTTCTCCCATTGAACAAATGTAATTTAACTTGTGTTCTTAGCAAAAAACTGTTCCGTATAACGTGTTTACATGAAACATTCTTATTATATTCAGAAGAGGATGATAGCGATGAATGGATACAATCTATACAAAGTGCTATTAAAAAAGTATTGTATCATTAAAAATATAAATATATACCTAGCTGTTTCATTATGTATTGATATAATTTTGTTTTCAGTATATCGAATGTAGACAAACCTTGAGAAAAGAAAGTAGCTCAAGAAAACCACTTCGAAAAAAAAATATTAATGAATTTCCATCAGACGATATACTAAAAAAATCTATTAAAAGAAAAAGATACGTGAAAAATGAACAGGTAAAAATTATCTTTTGTATGTATATTAATCAAATTTTTTATATGTTTTATGAAATATCCTCAATTGATTTAGCAAGATTTACAGATCTAACTAATCATCTAACTAATTAGATATAGAGAATTAGCATATATTTTTAGCATATATTTTCTACATTACACTAGAAATGTATGAATTATTCAAATGTAAATTGACTTAATAAGATTCGATTTGGATTTGAATCTCTATGATTCAAATACTAATCACATATTAACAATTTTAAATTATGTTTTCCATTAGGAAGAATAGTATGGCTATTTTTTTTAAATAATAGGATATATTTCGTTTCACATATATACGCGTATAATTTTACAATAATTATGTTTTTAATTAATTACGCTATTTAATTCAATTTTACTCTATCCGATTCGAATAAAATTTTGTTTGATTTGATTCGAATTTAAACAAAAATGGGATTCGATTCGCTGTTAAAGATTTTTGATTCGCACATGTCTATATTAAATATTAGGTATTATTGGATACCTCCAACATAATGTACTTCAAAAAAGATAATGAAATAAATGAGAATGCTCAAGACGACAAAACTTGCTTACCATTTTGTACCAGTGTCAAGAGATTTAAAAAAGATGAATATTCCAAAGCTGATGATAATACTCCCCGAATGAAAAATATGAAAGTGAAATCATGTAAAAATAAAAATAAGCAATGTGTATTTGCATATAAATATTTGAATAAGTCAAGCAACAACAGTTATAACGAGGTGAATAGATATGCAATATCCACGAAAATCTATACTATAAATTTATTTGTGTATAATATATTTATTAAAGTAAAGTGTTTGGTTTTTTTAGATTTTTTCAGCGTCAACAGAAACATATAAAACAAGTTTATGCCCAATCACATCGAGCAAGGAACATGCATCACAATCTGGAATAATTAACAAATTTTTTACATATTTTAGTACAAGCATAAAGAATTTTGTTACATTTAGATAATCTATTCACATATATGTGAGATTGAAAAAAATAAATTGTATTATAATTTACAGAATATTATAACTGAGTGTATTTTATTTTAAATTTATATAAATAGTTAAAAATCATTAGACACGAAAAAGTTTTGACTAAAATTATAAATTAGATTAACCAATCATAAATATTCCTATTACATTATGAGATATTTGACTGATTGAATGGCAATTGATCGATTTATTTATAGCTTTATAATTACAACTAAAAATTTTTACATGTAATATTAAATTTTTACGTGGCCAAACATTAAAGAAGTTTCAAACATATTTGAAAATAAAAATTTTACTTTT